TAAGAAGTGAAGGGAATGATGGGAAGGGGCGGAGTAAGAGATGGATAGGATGATGGGGAGAGGTGGAGTAGAAAATGAACTGGATGATGGGGGAGGAGTGGAGCAGAAGATGGATAGGATGATGGGGAAGGGGCCAAAGTAAGAGATGGATAGGATGATGGGGAAGGGGCCAAAGTAAGAGATGGATAGGATGATGGGGAAGGGGCCAAAGTAAGAGATGGATAGGATGATGGGGAGGGGCGGAGTAAGAGATGGATAGGATGATGGAAGGGGGCGGAGTAGGAGATGGATGGGATAATGTGGAGGATGTGGAGTTGGAAGTGGATAGGATAATGGGATTGGATACAAAGTGCAGAACTGTACATGTCCTCAGTACTTCAGAGGGATTTTAATTATGCACTATCTTTCAAACTCACAAATGCACTGCTTGTATAATCATCCATGTCTAGTCTGACTGTACTAGCTGGACCCACTTTCTATAGGCATTCCTCTCTCCTGTAAAGAACTGTGAAGCCTTGTACCTGTATCTCTCTTGGTGGTGATCTTTGTTGATTTACTTTTAAATGACAGGTGCCTTTCAACACACAGTCTGCACACAGCACTGACTACGTTTTTTTTCTCCTACATGTAGAATTGTATTGCTAAGGTCGATAAAATAGCTTGTATATATCTGTATTGCAGTCGTATGTCAACCAATCTTGTGAAAAAGTTTGATGAAGCTTTGTTAGTATTTACTTGTTTGATTTAGTCACCATATTTGTATAACTTAGGTGTCTCTTTCTTCTTATTACAAGAGAGAAATGCAAATTCATAACAAGCAGCTAGCCATGGCGGCTTTGCCATTCTAGTTTTGTCAGCCAGTCCCTGACATGCTATAAATTTAATAGGGTGTTGCAAATGGCATGCGCACTACCGATCCCACTCATTCCGCATGGGGGCAGCTTCAATGGCCTTTGAAATGGGCATTCCCTTCACCGATATACAGCGCATGGGTCGATGGGGTTCGGACGCTCCGGTCACCTACATGTATCTCCGCCCCTTTCCACCGTCAAACTTCAGTGCGTGTTGAGCATTTAAGCTAAGTCCATGTTTTTGGTTTTAGGTCTGGCCCCACACGTGTGAGAGTGTGCCTGGATTGTTGGAGACTCACTGGTTCGATGAGCAGCCAATATTAAACACGGGTGTCCTGTTTCCTGTTAAATGACAGGGAAGGAGTGGAGCACACATACATCAATTACCACAATTATTGGACAACATTGGGGAAGCGTGCATCATCGTCGTACACATTGGGACCAATGATTTAGTGCCGCTCAACTTTTTTGCACTCCAGCAGACGCTGGCCATAATGCTGGCGGAATGCAGGGAGAGGTTTATGAATGCAAATTTGGTCTAGTCATGCATATTGCCGCAGCTCTTTTACTATGGTGCTCAGTCCCAAAATCGATGGAACATGTATGGCGGGCAATGAACCGCTGGGCAGAGTCGCAATGTCACAAGCTGTTGGAGCACCCCCAATTTCAGTGGTCAGCTGGAAATCTTTATCACAGGGACAGGTTGCATCTCTCTCCGGAGGGAAATGCCATTTTACGCCAAAATCTCCATTGTTGCATTTTGTCCTTGCTGTAACTTTCACCTTTGGGGGCAAGGCTTGTTCTTCTGTGGGTCACGTTATACTCGTTTGCAATTTACGGCCCCAGAAGAGGTCGAGCTCCATTATTCCATACTTTCTTCACTCAATTGTTTTGTTCCCGGTTGTACCATGGTTGTAGCTGGTAATCGATCATGGCTTCGCAAATAAAAAACTGGAGAAATTCTTCGGAAAGCGAAAAAGACAAGAACTCAAAGAGAATGCGGATGAAAATGCTGACAGTGGAACTGGTAAGTTGAAGTTTGACAAGTGTGAAGAACGTGATGAACCCAGCTGCAGCGTGGATAGTCATGATAGTACAGGTGTAGTGGGCCAGATAAGGGCACGTGTACTCCTTCTACTTCGTTGCAAAGAGATGTAAAAAATCAGAAACATGCGTCAACTTTTGACGTCAAGTGGAAAATAAATAGGCCTTGGTTATACTGTGTTCGTGGTTCTAGAATTTTTTTGTACATACTGCTTAAAAGTATGACAAGAGGCCCTATGGACGTGAAATATGGAATAAAGTAGGATGTATAAGGCTTCAATTAGAGAGCAGTTATACGCCTGAAATTCATTGAATATCAGTCCTTAAAATGTAGCTTTATACCATTATCTCTAAAAACAACCCCAAACCCAGGAAATAAATGGCGCTGCCGTCGGAACGGTGAAAATGGTGTCCCTGGACCTTGATCATGTTGTGCTGCATTTTTCTCATCCACAGCTCAACTTCATTTTTAGAGCCCACCACTAAAATTGGTCTGGCTAGAACCCTGCTTGTTTGTTTTCCTATCTTTCAGGAGTTTGAGTATAATATCAGTTAATCTGGTGTAATATATCTTATTGAACAATATTGAATACATTGATTACCTCTATTTGTTAGCAATGTATTGGCATACTTAACACACACTGATAAACTTAGTCTGAAGATGGTATTACATGTATAATCGCAACTCTTCTAGTAATAATGTAACTTCAGTGAATTATATCAAGTTTCATATCCAGGTATAATTCTATTACTGTGATATTGGTTGATCTTATGAACATAATTACTGTCCTAAGGACAGATATACTCTCAGTTTGTCTTTGAGCGCTTCTGTAATATAGATATCTTTTGCTCTTTCTGATGCCCAACAACCATGTTTCTTTATGAGTCTATCTGGTATTCCAGACATTGCTGCCTGAAAACTTCAACATTAGGGATGACTTATTTTATTGCTGGAATGAATATTTCCCTAAGTCTAGAGTATGAAATTGGTTTGCCATCTTTTCTTACAACATATCCAGATTTGGTTTTGGATAACGAACAAAACACAAAATAGTCTGTATCTTCTTGAAATCCACACATTTCCAAGTTGTTTTCAAGGATTTTCTTCAAACATGTATTGTTCGTTCTACTGATAAGCACCCATGAGCTCTCTCTGTATTTATCTGTTTTGCTCTTTTCTGTGAAAATGGAATATGAGTATTGTATATTAAACTTGCTGCCGGGTATGGAAAATGTCCCATCGAGGAATGTAGAGAGTGGCAAACTTCTGAGCAAGATGGTTGACAACTGGGTGCACGTTGAAGAGGCGGTTGTTGCAGTCCTCCGGCATGGCGGTGTTATCGTTGAAGTGCAGGGACTGCAGGATGGCAAGGAAGTGATCTCT